TTAACCCATTACCCAGCTCCTGGAGGCAACTATGTGCCTTGAAAAGAAGATTAAATGCAAGGAAAAGTGTTAACCACCACTTAAGGCAGTGTCCCGTGCAGGGAGGAGCAGGGGGCACCTCAAAACAAGCTCTGCCTGGGCCCCCGGGGTTCTTTGGTACCTGCTCAGTCCAGGACAAGCTGTCCCTGCCACAGCCCAGCTCCCACCACACGCTCAGCCCCCTGTCCCCACAGGCCATTACCTCGCTTAAAGGACCATCTCTTCTTCCAGCGCTTGGAAAACGATGGCCAGGAGTGGTTGAGCAGCGAGTCTGACATTTGGGAGCCCCGTGCAAGGTACAGCCCCGAGCAGGAGACGCCGGCACGGAGCACGGCAGAGCTCAGCGCGCTCTAAGGCAGCGCTGCAGGCTGCAGCCCAGGGGCTGCCAAGGGGGGAGTGGAGAAGCCAAGTGTTTTGTCAGAAGTATCAGCTGATGGAAGCTGTAGCCAGAGAGACATTCCTGGTCCCTGGCATTCCCACCTGTGTGGCAGGTCAGTGACTTCCTACAGCTGGGCCTGGGGATTAGTGGCCTTGGAGCACATACAGCCCCTGAGTGCTGCTCGAGGCTTGCAGACAGAAACAGAAAACAAGCTGTTAACACACCACAGCCCCTCTGCCAAAACCTCCCTGCTCCATTCACGGCTGTGAGCATGACAGACACTTTGTGAGCACTTTCAGGCACTTCTCACCTGGCTAAGAGTCACCTTCACCTTCAGTGACAGGTCAGAGTTGATACTGACAAGGCTTGGTGTCTTTACAAGACATTTATGAAGGCTCATTATTTACACTTTTTCTCATTTTCAGGTGCTGTGGCAGAGCCTCTGCAAGGGACTGCAAGAGACCCTGTCCATCTGCAACATCAGCATCATCCTACAGCTCACAGCAAGTCCCAGTCCCCTGGCAAGGGCATTTCTCCATGCCCTCCTCAGCTCTCCCACATGGGGAGGAAGGTGGGAGCAATCTCAAACTGCCTCAAGAGACCCAGCTCCCTACCCTCCAAGCCCACTGCTCCCACTTGGCACCAGTTCCACATCCCAGTCTCCAAACTCCACTCCCAAGCCCTCAATTAGGCTGAAGAAGCCAGGTTTTATCCCAGTGCAGCTGCTGGGCTCTGGGGCCAGGCCAAAACTCCTCCCTGCTGTTCAGCTGATGCCTGTCGCCTCACTGAGCAGAGCCCAGCCAGTTTGGGAATGACCACAGGTACCTCCACAGCTTGAAGCCCAGGCTGGGCTGGTGATGCCCAAAGGCAGGTGTCAAAAAGCATTTTTCTTGCCTGGACACAAACCCCAAAGTGTCACCTGCCCAGTACAGCCCTGTCTACATCCCCTCTGCTGCCATCTCCCTGATAATACTGGGGACCAGCCCTGGAGTGGGCAGTCCAGAGTGGAATTTGGGGGTCCTAGGCATGGACCCCTCTTGTGCACAGCCCAAACCCAGCTGTGGGCAGTGCCAGGGTGTCTTTGCAAACATTCAGCTGTGGCACAGCAGCAGCAGGAGCCAGCACCCAAAGGGTGCCCAGCCAGCCCAGCACTGCCCCAGGGCCCACCATGATGGCACCTGGGGGTTAAATCTTGACATCATCTCCTCCTCTTCACTCACAGCAGAGCAAAACCCTGTGTAGGCTGAGCCTCCCCAGCCCATGTTTTGCATTGAAGCTCGTGCAGGAGGGAGGCTGCACCAAACCCAGCACTGGGACTTTTGGCTTCAAGACAAGCTGCTTCCTCACAAGGCCTTGAGGAAGGTGAGTGACAACCCCGCGGCTGTGGGACGGAGCTTGTGCAGAGAGCCACTTACCCTGAGGGCTGGAGGCATTTCTGTGGCAGGTTCCTCGTGCACAATCCTCACATCTGACAGCTGTGGCTTCTTCTCCAGCTGCCGGAGCAGAGCGAGAAGCGGAGCCTCACGGGGGAAGCAGCGGCCATGAGGGCGGTTTGCTCACGGGGGCCGCTGGCTCAGCCCTCTCACCGCTTCCCCTTTCCGACAGCACAAACAAACCCACCTCTCCCATGCTGCAGTCCCCACCGCCGTGCCCCAGTGCTGCTCGCTCCCACCCTCGCTGGAGTCTGGGCTCTGGAAGGGTCCAGCAAAGCCACCGGGAGGGCTGTGGACCCTGAGGCAGCCAGTGCAGGGGCCCTGGCAGCCCTGAAGTCACGATGACTGCAAAGAGCAGCTACTGAGGCAATAGCTTCCTGTTCCCTTCGGGGAAAAACCGCTGTGTGTGCCCTGAGAACCCCACACACCCAGCCCAGCCCGTGGGCTCCTTGCACCATGGCTCATTAGCCTCTTACACATGGCTCCTCTTAACAAGTCCCTGGTCTTCGCTCTAAGGTTTGACCTTGTGGAACAACAGGGACCACAAAGCCCAGCAGGTCTGTCTTACGCAGGGTGAAGTGATAGCACAGCACAGAAATGCCTGTACTGACCATATTCACCTGTACAGGAGAGAGACAAAAGCTTCGGCTCCAAGGCAGTGCCCCTGCCCTGCTCTTGGCCAGCAGACAGAGCCCTGGCATGTCCAGGCTCGGGTTTGTTGGCACAGCCATTCCCTCCTTCCCTACAAGCCCCGTGGGCTGAGGCACACACGCTCCTCATCCCAGAGCCCCGAGCACTCATCAGCCCCAGCCAAACCCTAATCAGAACAAGAACCACTCACACTCCAATTACTCAGAGACCGCAGCTTTGGCAGCATTTAGAATAGCAATTACCCTGTGCTCCAGGAAACCACAAGAGCAAAGAGGAATTAAGGTTTAATTTCTCTGAAGTCCACAAGAGCTCGATGAGCATCAGAGATCAGGGCAGCTCCTAAACACCACCAGGCAGCTGCTCTGGCTGATGGGATGGTGAGTTGTCCTTGGCTCAAACAAGAACGAGCTCTTTCCCTCCTGCCACGTGTCTGACACAGCTTGGGGGGTGCTGAAGCTGAGCTGTGCAGGCAGCCTGGAAGAGTGACAAGGGATAATGGCACGAGGACAGCCCGAGCCTCAGCAGCCTCCCCACAGCATCCCAGAGAACCCAGTGGGAAGCAAATCTCCTGGGACAGCAAGTTCAAGTTTTATGGCTTTGTTTATTTTTGCATTTTAGGATCCCCAGAGAACAAGCCTTTGCCAGAAGAAACAACTCTGAAAGATCTTAAAATACCAGTTTGTTTATGATCCTTCTCACAGTGAGAGAATTCTGGATAGGCTTAGGGGAAAAAATGGCACTGGTGGGGCCTTGAGTGCTGTGTCCAGTTCTGGGCCTCTCACTAGAGAAAGACACGGAGGGGCTGGAGGGTGTCCAGAGAAGGGAGCGGAGCTGGGGAAGGGGCTGGAGAGTCAGTCCTGTCAGGGAGCTGGGAAGGGGGCTCAGCCAGGAGAAAAAGAGGCTCAGGGGGATCTTCGGGCTCTGCCCAACTCCCTGACAGGAGGGGGCAGCCCTCACCTCGCTGGTGCAGCCCATCAGGAGGGAAATCTTGGCTCTGGTGAAACAAAACCAGGCTTAAGTTAGAAACACCTGCAGAGGGGCCTGGGCGGGACAGGAGGTTCCTGGTGCACGCCCGGTTACAGCAGCTCCACCACAGGACAGGGGAGGGGCTGATCCTCTGCCTTTGATGTTTTTAAAACCGGCAGTGAGGAGTCTGTCCCCTCCGAGGAGAAACACCTGCTCCATGCCCAGGAAATAACAAATTACATCGCAGAGCCACAGCTCCCCATGCTCCAGAAGGAATCCTGGCACCAAAGATCACCCGATGGCATCAGTGGCATCACCCAGAGCCCCGAGGTGAGGACAGAGATCACCTCAGCCATCAGGTAGAGGAGTTCCACTGGCTTCACACTACAAGCCTACAGTTGGTTGAGCTGTGGGTTTTGGTTTTTTCCTTAACACCATTTATTTTGCAACTTATTCCAAGGTGCGAATTTACTGCTTTCTCCACGGCAAAGCAGCCTTCAGTGCTGCACAGACAGCAGACACAAAATGAACAGTTATTCTTGGATAATTTATTCAGAATTTTAATATAAACAGTTAATTGTTCAATATTCCGACACACAGCAAGGATTTTTTTTTACTATTCAAAGATTTTCTGTACATGTCACTGCTTGGCTCTTAGATATGAAAACACTGAAAAAATAAATCAAGGGGAAAGGTTTTTCTCTTTTTTCTTCCTTTTTAAAAAAAATAATGGCACATTTGATCCTTTATTTCAAACAAGAGGTATCTGCAGTACTATTTGTATTCTGGAACCTTAGATGCACAGAGGGAAAGGTGGGAGCAGCAAGAATGAACTAGGAAAAAAAAATAAAAACCCCAAGACTTCACAGAACATCACCTAACATGTAACTGAAACTATCTGTAGTTTATTTAAGTGAAGCAGAGAGCATTTGCTTTGGGCTGTGTTGGATGAAGCTGATGTCCAGTTCCCCCATCCATGAGAGTCCTCAAATACAAACCAGTTTTGATACTCCAAGAATAAAACCATTCCCCTAACTAAAGCAAAAGGTAATGCTTTTCTTGCTCAAGTAACACTCTACCTCTGCAGATTTAGAAGTGGCCTTTCCAAAATTCTCCATCAGTTTTCATGGGACTCGGTTACAGGAAAAGACTTGGAAGTGGGGGATGGTGGAAGCGTTGGAATGCTGCTGGGAGAGTCTGGATTTACAGAGCTTTGGTGTGGAGTCCAGCTCAGAGCTCTCAGGTAAAGAGCCCTCAGCTCAAGATTTACTGGTGCTGCTGGGACTGAGCAGGGGCTGGGGCTCAGCTAAGTAAGAGCCCACATTTAACCTCCACTGATGGCTCCTCTTTACCTGCCAGGACTATTCCAGGTCCTCCCAGCCACCAGACCCTGTTCCCAAGGGATCCTTCTGGGCTGAGAAAGGAGACTATTTAACACCACCAGCTGGAACACTGGAGTGGGAACAAAACCACTACCAGGAACAGAATTTCTGGCTGATTACAAATCTGTTGGCAAAAAAGTAACAACACCATAGGAGTTAATACTAACTTTATTATACAATATTTAAAAAGTCATTTCTCTACCTGTCCCCTTACAGCTTGCATTGTGCTGCAGTGAATTTGCCCAAACTGCAAGAATAAGTGCTTCCTTCCGAGAAGGACAAGCAAATTCATTTTAAAAAGAAATACACATTTAATGACAGCAGATTTGCTAAAAATGGTTAACTTTAGAGTTGCTTTTCAACAGTCAGGTTCCTCCAAAAGTCAGCTGGATGACTGGCTTCACTCTTGTGATGCTCCTAACAAGGCTGAACACGTCAAGGCTTTACACTGACACTCACAGACAGAATCCAAGCAGAGGGAACACAGAGCCAAGCAGAAGGTAATAAAAAGGCCAAATTCCATTAAGTTCATACAAATACCAAACTAATCTTATGTTGAATTTCACAAAGTAACTATTTCTTGATTCCAACCCATTCAGCAGTTCCTTTCCCTGGACCACAGGACACTCCGAGGGCGGCGGCTCTTCGGGCAGGGCCGGGGTTCCTGCGAGCCCCCGGCTCCGAGAGGATCACAGGGTTCATCTGCAGTTCTGAGCTCCCTCCAGGCTCTGAGCCCATCCCACACGGATCACGGGAGCACCTGGCACAGCCTTGACAGTAAGGTTGTATGGCACAAAGATATTTCACGTTCTGGCTTGTAAAACAAGGTTCCAGTCTTGGTAGCAGGAAGGGCCCGAGACACCTCAGGGTCCGTCTTCGTGTCACAGTGGCTTTGAGAGGGAACTCGACTGCCTCCCTCCCTCCCTCCTCTAAAGCAGAGGCTCAGCACCCTTCTCACTTGTGTAATTTCCTATTTGCCTTCAGCACAGTCAGCTCAGTAACACAAGAAGCGACTTTTGAGATTTTTTGTTTTCCAAAGAGATACCAACACTATAACCAACAGACTAAAATTAAGCAAAGTGTCCCATCGCTATAATACAAATTTAGGAGGAAAGAGATAAACTACCCATAAATTAAGAGTACCCTTTAGCAACCTAAAAGCAGCCTCTTCATACCCACACAGCTGCTTTACCATCATCGCTGCAGCATGGTCTAGTTCCCATCACCTTTCCCAACCCAGTGCTGGCACAGAGTTTATGTCTGAGCTCTTCTATTTTACAACACAATAGAGTATTTACAAGCAGCCAAGACAGACACGTTCCTAACCCAGCAGCCAAGCTTTGCAGTGCTGTGCTGGCCTGCCAGAGAAGTTCCAGATTGGCAAGAGCCGTTCAGGAAGTGGCAATTGAGTTTAATGTGGAAACCTTTCTGAGGAACCTCTCCAGCCTTGCACTTCAGACATTTTCTCAGTGAAAGCTCAGCAGAGCTCAACTTCTTGCTCCTCCTGATTCACCAGAGTGAATTTCTGGCTACGTGGTGGTGCCAGACTGTTCCCAGGAGGCTCCAGCTGCTCCCGGACAGGCTGAGGGGTCTGTCCTGCTGCCCCATGCTGCGAGCAGGGCATTCTCTGCCCACAAAGGGCAGGAGCCAACCCTCCAGCAAATATTAATGCAAGGAAAGAAAGAGCTTCCCACTGCTGGCTGCCCTCCTCCAGCCATCTGACCTGCTCTCCTGCACCAGTGTTTGGTTCCTCCTAAGCAGCAGCAGGAGCAGCAAGTGTGGTGCTTCCACCGCAGCGGGGCCATTCTGCCCCACAGGGATGTGGCCGGAGCAAAGAGCAGCAGCTCCCCCAAGGCAGGGTCAGCACAGCAGCCCTGCCCAGGCTGGGGTCCCTGGCACCACCCCAGAGGTTTCAATAGCACTTGAATCTCCACTTGCAGGAATTCTCTGAGCAGGAATCAGCGAGATCCGAGTGAGGCATGTGGGCATCCCTGGGGCGAGGATCTTCCAGCAGCAGAGACCAAGTGTCGGCTGTGAGCCAAGGAAGGATTTTCTAGCAGTGAGAGCTGGGCTTTGCGGGTGATGTTCATTTATTCTTCCTAATTCTACAGCTGAATGTGATCTGTAACAGCCACGAGCAGCAACCACTAGTGTTATTTGTTTTACAGAGGAGAAACACAATACCCTCCCCACTGGTACCACACGCCTTCCCTCCCCCTGGGCACAAGGTAGGAAGGATGAGTAACCTTCACACAGTGCTGGGTACAAACAACTGCTCTGTTTGGTGCAGGGTGAAGGTGACACTGAGCCATGGGAGGGGACTGCCTGTCCATGGAGCAGCACACACTCCCTGGCTCAGCCATCCGAGTGTTCAAACCATGTGTACTCACAGGGCCAACCAGTATCAACCACGGGGAAAAGCCAGACCCAATACAAGGTTCCAATGTTCCTTCAGTAAAAGTTCTTCTATTCCCACAGCTATGATCACTGCCTTTGGAAATGGTATCAAAGCAAGGGTGTGCTGGAAAGGTTTGTTTCAGGAGGTCACTGGCAGGACCTTGGGTCACCTGTGCACAGTGAGAAGAGCAGTGACCAAACCACCCCAATGCAACCCCAACAGCAAGGGCTGGTCCCAGTCCCTGCTCCACACTGGCACATGCTGATCCAGGAGGAAGCAGCCTGCTCCTTTTAGGTCATGAGTTCACTAAAGTCCAAACATTTAAATGGATCTTTTGTTCTTTTTTTTTTTTTTTTTTTTTTTTAATCACAGCAGAACTAAGGGATGAGATCAGATCCAAATTTGTAAATGGGTTCATTGGCCACTACTGTTCAGATTAGGGATCAACAGTGATGGGCCATTCTCCTTCCCATTCCCTTCATGAATGGTCCCTGGTATTGGAATCAGCTGATACTGATTTTCCCTGATCCACAATAGGTCCAGACCAGAATATTTAAACAGGTTTAGAGGTGTGTAGTATTAAAAAATATCCTTAAGAAACACTGAGGTAGACTGCACCAGAACAGGACAAAAATAATCCCACCACATCCACCTGCCAAGATTTTGTGGATACAAATTTACATGTTCCGTGTGTTTAAGAAAACTAATTGTTTGTTGCTTTTTTTTTACAGTGTTTTATATATTAAAATAAATAAAAAATTCTAATAAGAAAAACTTCTCTTCCTTAGAAAAGTGTGAGAATATGTCTTCTTTCCTGCAGTGTAGTATAGAGCTGCTAAACAGTTACAACTTTGTAAAGCAGAAGAAATGTAAACGAGGCCTTTTGAAATCCAAAGGTTCTCACCCATGTCTGGACTGTGTTTTCCACCCAAATTTGTGGAGCAACCTGTACCCTCCACCTGGGCCAAACCCATCAGCCTCCAGCAGCAAAGGGCCCAACAGCTCCTGGTGCTGCCCAGAGTCTGTTGTCCCCCCTTTTATGACTCTGAAGTGCTGTTTTGGCCAGAAGCAGCTGGGGGCAGAGGTTCCCAGCACCAGCTGCATCCCCGGGTGTGGGCTCAGAGAGCTCCTCCCTACAGACTGCAGCCCCTCTGCCTTGCTCACAGCAGCAGCACTGCCTGGGGCACAGCCCAGCCCAGCACTCTGCCCTCCCCAGCCAGGGCACCTCGCTTCGTCCTGGCAGAGAGCACAAAACACATCTTGGACTTCTCCAGGAGGAGAAGTGAAGGACTGAGGATCTCTCCCTGCTGTTCAAGTGCCTCCTGCATGCCACGGGCCTGTGACATCCATCATCGTCCTTCCCTGCTCCCACCAGCTCTGTGCTACCAGCCCTGGTTGAGTTTCACCATTATTCTTCAACACCAGCTCTGTCTTTGCAAACAGCAGCACGACAAAGCACAGTCCCGACGGCGAGTGCTGACATCCCGGGAGTTCTGCAGTGGGAATCTTGGGGAACACAAGGCTGGAGGCCTGGGAGCAGCAGAGAGGCAGCAAACCACGGTCACCTCCGGCGTGCAGAGCCCAGAGCTTTGTGCTTCTCCCTTTCGGTGTCCCTTCCTCAGCTCCAGCTCGTGCTCGTCCTCTCTCACTGGCTGCATCTGCGGCACGGAAGGCAAAGCGAGGGACACGACGGCAGAGGAGGAGCAGGACTCGAGGCCAGGATGTTCTGTGTCCTTCAGCTCCCAACACCCAAGATGGGGCTTCGACTGGAGCCAGCTGACTGTGTTGTATAAATCATGAAACTATTACAAAGCCTTGTCAAGTATGAACTGAACATGTGCTTCATCGCTCCTGCAAGGCTAAAATTAGTTCATTCTGAAATCTTTGGACCACTTTAAGACCAAACAATCCCCCAAAACTCTCCCCGCCCCAAAAGGATCATAAACAGTCAATAATTTATATGAAGTTAAAATTTAAACTAAAGACATCTTTAAATATGTTACAACAAACAATATATATACTCAATGCTGTAAGGACAGAAAACTCCGTGTCTCAGGTCAGGGGACTCCTACTTCGTTTGGTCTTGAAAGTACCCACAAATCTCAGAGTTCTGCTCATTTAGCTCCCAGCACGTTTTCCTCATTCATTAATGAGAGAAAACCTGCTCTCAAGAGTCCTCAGTATAAAAATAATCTGTTTAGGATTCAGTCCCTCCAGGGAAATGGGGAAAAAAGATAAGTACACACTTCCAAGAAGAGGAAAGCTCCTGTGAAAACAGAGAATCATAGAGTATGCTGAGTTGGAAAGGACCCACCAGGATCACCTAATCCAACTCCTGGCCCTGTGCAGGACACCCCGAGAATCCCACCATGTGCCTGAAAGCGTTGTAAGTTGTGTACAAAACCACAAGTGTCTCTTTTGCTATAGGGTACACCCCACATGTTGATATTGCACACACGCACACACACGCCCACGCACGCACCCCGGGGTTTCACCCCTTGAAAACAAAGTATGAAAGCAGCAGCTATTGGTCAATCTGAGGATCTGACTGATGTGCTGAATCCTTCAGCTGTAGTGGAGAGGCTGCCTGAAAGCCTGGAATTCTACTGGAAATCTCTTGTTCCGCGTTGCTGGGCTGGAGCTCAGGCACCAGAGAACTTCACGTCTTCTGCTGGCAAACGCGGATGCTTCTCCTTCAGTTGAACTCACACGGTCGCTTCCTGTTGTGAAACCATGGTTACAGAAGGGACAGCAGCCATGGAAACCTCTTCCATTTATGTTCACAGATAAGTCCACTGACAACCAGTCAACTTGGCAAAAAAAAAAAAAAAAAATTAATCGTAAGATGATTAAAAATCTGAAGAGTTTGTAGATGTGTGTCATACACTGTGGCAGCAATAACAAGAGTCCTGAGATTTGTGGAGGGGGGAAAAAAGCAGACACAACCCTTGGGCCAAACAGGAAGTGTTAGGAAGGACTTGACCTGGGCATGGAGAGAATCCGCCCGTTTTTCTTGCCACCGTTCATGTGAGTGTAAGGGATGTGCTCCTCGTAGTTGCCCTTGAGGGCCATGGAGGGTCCATTGTCCCTCCCCAGCGCTTTGTCCCTCTGGGAGTACGAGGAGGGGTCGAGGGGAATGCTCTCCATGTTCTCGAAGTCCATCTCGTACTCCTCTGTCTCCAGAGGTTTGTTCTCCTCGCTGTAGAAGAAGGAGACCTCGTGGAAGCTGGGGTGCAAGTCCTCCTTCAGCATCTCGATGATCTCAATGAAGGTGGGGCGCATCTTCGGGTTGTACTGCCAGCACATCTGCATCAGGCTGTGCCTGCAGCAGCACAGAGCACAGTCAGGGGCAGCAGAAACAATCCCAGGTGCAGAGCAAGGCTGGCACCCATGGCACACCCCCCACCACCCACACTACACCACTGCCACCCCAGGTTGTTTGTTCTCTTTCCAGCCTCCCCATCTGCCTCTAGATCCTGACACTCCTTTTTCTCTGTCTAGATTAAAAATTCCTTCCGATTCCTTCAATTGTTCTTAACTTGGCTGCTGAAGGAAACAGGGCTGTGGTTCACAGACTCTGTGTGTGTGCACACACACTTACAGCCAGGTCATCCTTTTTTAATTAATTCCTTTTTAATTTTAACTCAGCCTGAAAGATAACAAAGCTCCCAAAACTTCAAGGAAAATGGGAGGCTGGGCAGAGGACAGAGGTCCTGTAAACATCCCACCCAAAAGAAAGGCTGCAGCAAGAGGTCACGTTATCAGACACCATGGAGAAAGAACTCACAAATACAAATAGAGTCTCAAACTGGAGTTTGTAACTGGCCATCAGACAAATGTCCAGCACAGCAGCTTTTTTCATATGGATACTCACAAAACATGTTTATTTTATGACTCTGGAAGTGCTGTTTTGGCCAGAAGCAGCTGGGGGAAGAGGCTACCAGAACCAGAGAGTTACCATCTGTGCTCCCTTTTCCAGCCAGACCTGCTTTCCCTCACAATTGCTCCAGTGTGACTCCTCACACAGAATCCCAGGAACACTGAGGTTGGAAAAGACCTCCCAAGATCATCAAGTCCAACCCTTGACCCACCCCCACCTTGTCCCCAGCCCAGAGCACTGAGTGCCACATCCAGGCCTTCCTTGGACACCTCCAGGGATGGGAACTCCAAACCTCCCTGGGCAGCCCCTTCCTTGGATCACTAAGGATACTCTGGTGGAATTTCTGTGGGAGGTACCTCACTAAACTCTGGTTTTGTCCTCCCCAGTTGAGGAGGGTGAAGAGGTGCCCCAGGTCAGGCCATCTTTGTGGGCCACACTTCAGGCAAAGAGTGCAGCTGGGCTGGTTGTCCCTGCTTGCCCACTTACAGCCTCTCCGGGCAGTTGTCCGGCTGATCCAGGTATCCTCCATCCATGACAAACTTTAGCACCTGCTCGTTGGAGAGTCCCTGGTAAGGCTGCTCTGCCAAGCTGCTTATTTCCCAAAGGACAACACCAAATGACCTAAGGGAGAGAGAAAGCTCCTGGTGAGAACAAAACATCCTGGAGCCCTCCCAGTGACAGAGTTATTTTGGAAAACGAACTTCTAAAGAACACAACTATATTTTTATGGAAGCGTTTCAAAACAACGGCTTTGTTTTGTCTGTGCTCTGAGCAAGTCAGTTTAAACTATGTGTGCTAAAACAAGGAGCTCCTGAGCTGGAATCCATCTGGGATTGCAGAGGACAACTTACCACACGTCGGAGTAGGTGGTGAACACCCCATCCTTCAGCGACTCCGGGGCCATCCAGCGCACGGGCAGCAGCCCTTTGCCCCCCTTGCGGTAATAATCCGTCTCGTAGATGTCCCTGGTCATCCCAAAGTCTGAGGGAAGCAATTGGGATGTGTTAAATGCCTCTCCCTCCATCCTGCTTTTCCTGTGCAACATCTCCAGATGGATGTTGCCTTCTCCCCACTGCCAAAGCCCAGCCTGCAGTCATCTGTCACCTCGTGAATAATGTTCAAAACATTTCCCTTTTCCTGCATTTTTTTCTACAGAGTCACAACAGAGACTCCAGAGTTAAATTTTTTGGTGACAGCTTCTATTCTAAACATTATTTTATTCATCCTCTGTAAGTAAAACAGAGCTCCCTTTGTCTGAAATCCCACTGCCTTGGCTTCAATTCCAGAGAGCTCTGAAAAATCACCACACTGTGGGGTTCCAGGTTATTTTTAAATGTTGTATTTACTTATTACTAAAAGGGTTTGGGTTAAAAACGGGGTTAAATTACTTTTAAAAGCCACCTGACCCAATGACAGGATTATCAGCATGGGTTTGTTGTACCCAATTCCTTTTTTGTCTTAATTCTCATGGAAGCAAAGACCGTTGAAACAAACCCAGGTAGTTTAGGTTGAAAAGGTAATGAACTTTCAGGACAGAGGTTTGGTAATAGAGAAGGTGAGAAAAGCTACTCTAGCTCTACAGGAGATGTTGTTCTTACTGAAGTCCACACAATTCTGTCACAGAGAAGAAACAGAGGGAAGTGCTGCAATTTCCCAAAGGCAGACAGCGAGAATCACCCATGTCTGACACGTTGGTTTCATCAACTTGCTTTTACAACAAACACGATGCACAGAACCATCTCCTGATCACAGAATGGCCACGGTTGGAAGGGACCAGCAGCACCTACCCCCGATTTTCACAGTGAAGTCCTCTGCCACCATGCAGTTGCGAGCTGCCAGGTCCCTGTGCACGAACTTCTTGGCGTTCAGGTAGGCCATGCCGTCGGCGATCTCCGCGGCCATCTGGATCATCTCCCTCAGCGTCGGGGGCGGCCGGCCGGGGTTATTCTGCCAGGAAAAATCAGAGTCACAGAAAGGTTTGGGTTAGGTGTGACCTTAAACATCATCCAGTTCCCTGCCATGAGCAGGGAACCCTGCTCCAACCTTCCAACCTGGCCTTGGACACTTCCAGCTTCTCTGCGCAACCTGTGCCAGGTCCTGCCCGCCCTCACAGCCAAGAATGTCTTCCCAAAACCACATCAGATCTACCCTTTTTCAGCTTAAAGCCATTAAATAAAGAAGTATTAAACCCCAAACCAAGTCATTCTGTTCCACAAGAGACTCACTCTCTCCTGTCTTTACCTCAGCTTCAGGTCTCAAAGAGCGGAGGTAACTTTTCAGATCCCCATGTGCCATCAGCTCCATGACCACCAGAGTAGGTTGTCCCTTGGAGACCACTCCGAGGAGGCGAACCTGGAACACGAGTGAGAAATTCCCTCGAGGCTGTGTCCAAACAGAGCTGAGAACAGCCCCACAAGGCCTTGTCAGGCTGAGAGTTTTAAAAAGAGCAACAGTGAAACAACTTGGGCAGAAGGGGTTCTGTGGAATCCAGCAGGCAGAGATCCCAGCTCTGATGGATCAGCTGCCTCTGCCGCTTTGGCCAGCTGAGGCTCGGGCTCTGAAGGCACTGGAGAGCTGTGTGCTGAGGCACCCAGCACTTACCACATGATGGCAGCTGAAGCCTTTCATCACAGAGGCCTCGTTGAGGAACTCGATGCGCTCGCGCAGGCTGGCCGACTCGTTCACCGTCTTCACGGCCACGCGCGTCTCGGGCTCTCCCTTCACGATGTCCTTGGCGATGCCCTCGTACACCATCCCGAAGGAGCCCTGGCCCAGCTCCCTGAGGAGGGTGATCTTGTCCCGTGGCACCTCCCACTCGTCAGGGACATAAACTGTGGGGCACAGGGGAACATTCTGAGCTGAGCATTCCTGAAAGACGCTCCGGCAGCAGCCTTGGGTAGCGCTGCCACACTGCAGGGGGGTGAATGCTACAAAAGGACCAGAAAACCCCACAAAGACAACTCCAAGCCCACCCTGCTGCACTGACTGCACGATCAGACAAGAAAGAAGCCCTGGATGCTCTCACCATCACTGGCACTGATGTACTCAGGGTTGGAGGATGCATACAGGGGTCCTGTTGGTCCTTCGGTTTGTCTGGAAGAGACAAAAATTCCTCAGCACTCTGCAGCCTCTGACACCCCCGAGGTGAGGGCACTTTGATCAATCCCCAAAGCATGCAGCAAATAAACTGTCCCCATATGGCACAAACTATTTCCTGCACTTAAATTAATGCTGCAATCGCTATGGAAATTAGAAACTAAACAAAAACTGACTCCCAACAAAGCAGCAAAACTTTTGGATGTAAGTTTTGGTGTTTCTGGTGAAAACAAGAGAAAACTGCACTCACCTCTTTTTCACGAGCACATAAGCAGCTCCAATAATTCCAGCAATTATTATGGCAAAAATAATAGGAACAATGATAACAGCAATATTTGGCTGAGCATTCACTAGGAGAGAAAGAGAGAGTTGGAGGTATTATACAAGTCCAACATACACATTTTTTCCTCAATAAAATGTCCCCCTTCAATAAATTGGAACAAATACAAAACTAGAAGCTATTTCAGATCAAAATGTGGGGCTGGTCAGAATGAGGACTAATAAACAAAAGCCATGTGTTTCCAAGTAATTTCAGGTTCTTGACAACCGATGTATTTGGTAAATATTTAGTGACTCCTTGCTTGCTACACCCCATCCTCCAGAAATAACCCGAGTTTCTATCTGGGATTAAAAGTCAAAAATAAAATGAACTCACAATAATCAGCCACGTAGAAGTAGGTGGGCTCTGTCCAGGAGCCGTTCCCGGCCAGGGAGGTGGCCCGGATCCGCACGCTGTAGTTGCCAGGCTGCAGCCCCCGCAGCCTGCAGCCGCCCTCGCTGGCAAAGTGCTTACGGGACACGCAGAAATGGGCTTCCTGTGGGGACAGGGCTGTGCCAGGGTCATCCTGCAGCACCAGGGCTCCCTGACAGCTCCCGGGGGCTCCTGCAGCACCTGGGGCTCCCTGACAGCTCCTGGGGGCTCCTGCAGCACCTGGGGCTCCCTGAGAGGTCCTGGAGGCTCCCTGACAGCTCCTGGGGGCTCCTGCAGCACCCTGGGCTCCCTGAGAGTTTCCTGGAGGCTCCCTGAGAGGTCCTGGGGGCTCCCTGACAGCTCCTGGGGGCTCCTACAGCACCCTGAGCTCCGTGACAGCTCCTGGGGACTCCTGTAACACCCAGAGTTCTGTGACAGCTCCTGGGGGCTCCTGCAGCACCCTGAGCTCTGTGACAGCTCCTGGGGGCTCCTGTAACACCCAGAGTTCTGTGACAGCTCCTGGGGGCTCCTGCAGCACCCTGAGCTCTGTGACAGCTCCTGGGGGCTCCTGTAACATCCAGAGCTCCCTGACAGCTCCTCAGCATTCCTGCAGCACCCAGCGCTCCCTTTGAGTTCCTTGAGGCTCCTGCAGCACCCAGGGCTTCCTGACATCTCCTGGGGGCTTCCTGCAGCACCCTGGGCTTCCTGAGAGCTCCTGGGGGCTCCTGTAACATCCAGAGCTCCCTGAGAGCTCCCCATGACTCCTGCAGCAGCCAGGGCTCCCTGAGAGCTCCCTGATGGCTCCCTGGGATCCTGCAGCACCTCCCCAGCTGGCAAACACACACCCAAGGGCTCTCAGTCTGCTCCAGGTTAGCAGTTTGTGCTGGATTTGTGCTTTGCAGGGCAGTAGGTCAGGTTACAGAGAGCAAGTGCCATCTGCTCCTCTGGCTCTCAGCACTGACACTGGGTCTGCACTGGGGAGTGCCACTGCTCCCGTGGCACTGGCACCAGCCCTGTCCCCGTGGCACTGACACCAGCCCTGTCCCCAAGAGCTCATGGGCTGCTCAACACCTTCCTCACTCCTCTAAGCAACTTAAATTTCACAGAATCACAGAAACATCAAGGCTGGAAGAGACCTTCAAGGTCAAGTCCCAGCAACAACCCAGCACCACCATCATCAGCTGAGAACGTGTCCCCAAGTGCCACATTCAGACACCTCTTGAACACTTCCAGAGATGGTGACTCCACCCTCTCCTTGGTCAACTTATTCCACTGCCTGAGCCCTCCTGCAGGGAATTTTTTTTTTCTGGTATCTAATCTGAACCTCCCCAGTGCAACTTAAGGCCTTTTGTCTGAGGCACAGCAATGTGGGGTTTCTGTCCCTCTGTGAAATAACATTTCTACAAAGGCTCCCTGCAGAAAGCTGGCAAATCAGCTAAACTTGCTGAGCAAACGGGCAGCAGAACCTGTCACCAAAGGTGCTGTGACAGCAGAACCTCCCACCAAAGGTGCAGTGAATGACAGCAGAACCTCTCACCTCGGTCTCCCCAAGCCGCCCGTAGTTCACCTCGTAGAGCACGATGAGGCCGTTGGGCTCCTTTGGCTCCTGCCACTTCAGATGCACAGTGTTCTTTTCCACCAGCTCATGGGACACTGGGCCAACGATGTCATCAGCCTTAGCTAGAACCAAGTTCAAGATCAGGTTTAGTTTCATGTCTTTGGGCAAAATTCACACCTGCCAATACCTCATCCATCCTTTCCCACCAGGACATAAGGACAGCCCCTGTCTTACATATTGCAGCTGCCTCCCATGGGAAAAGCAGCATTTTGGGAACAGCACCAAGCCACAGGAGGCTCAGGGACAGAATCACCTTCTGGCATGGTCCTGGCACTGACATAAGCTGCCACGCTGCAGCGGGACTCCTGGGCATCGTGGTTGCAGGCGTGCAGCTCGATGCGGTACCCGGTGAAGTGGCGCAGCCCCGAGATCACCAGGGACTCCTTGGACAGCACCTTCTCAAAAGGTTTCTGCTCCTCTGCACCCTCAGCTGCTGCTGAATTGTTGGGGGAGGACGGGATGGTGGGTAACACCACGGTGGCGTTTGCCACGGAGCCCAAGTCTCTTCGTTTTCTTGATGGCCTGTCAGACAACACGGTCACCGAGTTAGAGTTACAGTCAGTGTCAGCACATCCAGCTGGAAAGGAAGGGTCAAAATGGGAGAGCTCAGAGTGCCACTGGAAACTCAAACTTTGAGTGCCACTGGAAACCCAAAACTCAAATCTTTGCTGCTGAACTGAACTTTCCACTGCCACCTCTGACTAGCAGGCCATGGCCAGCCCCAGCCCCAACAGGGATTTGCTCTGACAGGTCTCTGCCACCTTCCCTGCTTCCTCTGCCCTCCCTGGTGCAATTCTCCTCCTCCAGCAAAAGGCACCAGACAGAAAGCAGAGTTTGAGATGTCCTGATACTTGCAAAGCAACCAAGAAATTCAGCATTTTTTTTTTTAAACCAAGACACGCATTTTTACAAAATTGTGTATCCCCCAGACTTTTCTCCTTGCACAACTGCACACAGGGAGACAAAATAAAAATAAACCAATCCAAGCTTCAAGTATTTGCTTGAGAATTCAAGTTCCCCTGGGTCTCTCAGCTGTCTAACTTTACCAGGTTGCCTCGGATGCCTCAGGCAGGGTTGCAATGCTTTGGAGTTCAGCCCCCACCCTGGAGCTGCAGCCCTGAGCACACCAGGTCACACCACGGCCCCACTCGGTGACCTCAGATGTGCCACATGTCCCAAGTGTCACTAACTTACATTTATAAAGCAAAAGGCCACTCTCCCAGCTCTCTGGAATACATTTGCCACTCTCACCCCTAAGGCTGAACCTCAATGGATACACAAAGAATTTTAACCTTTTCCCAAGAGATCAAATCTATGAAGTCCTTTTCAAGGCATGCATTTAGAACTCATGATTCTGATTACATATTCACTGTGTGGTTTTGTTAACCAAATGTTGCTCCTCAGGTTATTGCATTTCAGTCTGAAAATGTGATTTTTTCACTTGTAAAACCAGCACCTGCAGCTGACCATGTCACCTTCCCTGTCTGCACCTGAGTGCCACCAGACAGCTTTAGTATCAGGTTTTGTCAGCAAATAAACAGAATTAAGAAGCATTTGAAAATTTCACTTTCTTGGCAAGAAAAAAAAAAAAAAAAAAAAAGAAAGAAGGGCTAAGTACCAAACCAAAAGTGCCAGAAGTGCTCAATCTAACACTCTTATGTGCTGTCACATATTTGCCATGGGGAATTCCAGGTCAGGAACTAACCAAGGTGGTGAATCAGTAACTGGATTCAGTTACACAAAAGGAATTAATGCCAGTTGAAATCCAGACCATGTATTTTAAGGGGGTGATGATCTTTTTGTGTGTGTGTGCATGTGTGTGCAGCTATTAAAGGGTACAAAGAGTGACCTGATCTGAACCCACACTTGAGGCATCTCCAGGCTCTAAAAATGTAACAAGCTGTTGAAGCAAATCTTTGCTGCTGAACTGAACTTTCCACTGCCACCTCTGACCAGCAGGCCATGGCCAGCCCCAGCCCCAACAGGGATTTGCTCTGACAGGTCTCTGCCACCTTCCCTGCTTCCTCTGCCCTCCCTGGTGCAATTCTCCTCCTCCAGCAAAAGGCACCAGACAGAAAGCAGAGTTTGAGATGTCCTCAACATAAACACTGGGCTGCACACAACACAACACAAATATTCATGGAGTTGTCATCTTCACAGAATGGTTCGGGTGGGAAGGACCTCAAAGCCCATCCAGTGCCACCCCTGCCATGGCAGGGACACCTCCCACTGTCCCAGGCTGCTCCCAGCCCTGTCCAGCCTGGCCTTGGGCACTGCCAGGGATCCAGGGGCAGCCACAGCTGCTCTGGGCACCCTGTGCCAGGGCCTGCCCACCCTGCCAGCCAGAATTCCTTCCTGCAGAATATTCATCCACCTGATGACAAATAAGGATGGCAAACAGCAGGTTCAGCAAGCACATTCCAGTTTTAAGATTTCTCTTTCTTAATTACTAATTAACTCCTTTTGGAGCTGCTGTTCCCTCAGCCTGTGTGGTGCTGTGAGCAGTGTCCCCTCAGGATGGGGCAGAGTTCAGGGACCCAGCTCTGGGTCATGCCACCTCCCTCCTTGGGAAGGATTCCTTATGGTCAAACAGGACCTGGTTTGCATAAAAGCAAAGCTACACCCTCTGTTTATCCAGTGTGAATGTGATCCTCGTGTTCAAGGGAATTTTGTTTTTCATAAGTAAAACAGTAATTTGACCACCGATGCAACACAGAGTAAAATGCAAGAATTCCTTTCTTCTCAAGTAACAGAAAGTTAAGAAAAGCTTTTGAAGCTGTAAATCCCCAATCTTCCCATATTTATTATCCTGGATTTGCAGCAATTTTCTTGCCAAATTCTCTGTATTTTCTCAAGAGTTATTCCAGTGTAATTTTCATTGAGGCCATCTCAGCAGCTCCAGTGAGCTCCCTGTGAAACCCTCAGGTCCCTCCTGTCCTCACAGGTGCCATGGGGGGCCTGGAAGTGACCCCTCAGCACACACAGTATGGCCTGTGCTGGGGGATTCCAAAAATGCTTTTGGTACCTGAAGCCAAGCTTTTCCACACCCCTGAAACCACCCCAGGTCAGCTGGCCTGGCAAAAGCATTTTAGATTTGTCTGTACAATTAACTAAATTGGGAAACAGTAACTTTTAAAGAGAGTCATTCCTCAGATCTTGCTCCCCAGAAATACTGGGAATGGCACAAGTGTGTGTGACAGAGGACAGAGACCTGGGGCTGCTCCTGCTCTTGCTGCAGTGGTGATGGAGGGAATACCGGGAATGACACCCTGAGCAGCAGCCACTGAGCTCCCCTCTGCCTCTCAGGACTTCTTCTGAACCTTTCCCTGCTTCCCACAGAATGGAGGAGGGGTGAGGCTGGAGGGCACCTCTGGGGATTGTCTGGTCCCAGCCCCTGGCCCAAAGCAGGGGCAGCTGGAGCAGGTGGCTCAGGACCACGCCGGACTCTCCAGGGATGGAGACTCCACACACCCATCCCTGGGCAGCCTGTGCCAGGGTGTGACCAGCCCTGAGCTCCAACCCATGCAGAACTCCTCCAAAATGAGAGCAGATAAGCCAGGAAAGAAGAAACAAAGCATCAAAGAAACAAAGATGGCCACTTTGTTCAGCCCCAAAGGGGACCTGGAGTGAGCCACTGCCAGCTCTGCCTGCGCAGAGGAACATTCCTGAACTTCTGGCTTGGCTTTTTGTCACTGCCAGAGAAAACTGAGCCCCAGGAGGTGTGACAGTGGCTCCTGGAGTGGGTAATCAACGTGCCCAGTGGGAAGGAACTGTGATTTCCAGAGGGTGAGATCAGCCCTGCACTAAGGCTGGATCCTGCCCAGGGATCAGATCGCTGGGAACAGGGCAGGACGGGAGAAATGGCACATGGAAAACAAGAAGATATCAGGGAGAAACTGCTGGGATTCTGCTCCACTGGCATCTCATGTTCCCTGCTGGCCTCACCCCTGAGATTCCTCCCGTGACTGGCAAGCTCCTTCTCTCCAGGAGAGGCCACACAGCACCTCAGGAGAGGTCACTGAACTCTCAGGAGCCACCAAAAAAGCACCTGAAGTAAACCACACTCCTTGCTCCCTGCCAGGCTCTGTGAGCAGGTGATAGCACAGTATTCACAGGAGAAAGAATTCTGATTTATGTGCTGACAGCCTGGAGCCTGCCAGGGAAGACAAGCAGGGCACGTGGCAGCAGGGAGGCCTCTTCACCACTGGCTTGTTTTAGAGGATTAGTTGGCCATGGGATGTGGGGATTTTTTCCTCAGGAGGCTGACAAGGTGGCACATCCTGGTGATTGGTTTCTTCCTAAAATACATACCCCAGAAACTGGCCTGAGAAGCATCCTGGGCTGGCTGCACAATAAAATTGGGGGTGGGGAAAAGAAAAAAGAAATCAGACTGTCAGAATTGTCTGCCTGCATCAGGAGGAGTTTGGCTTTTGCATATGGCTTGGCTCTCCTCTGCTTTGGAATATGTCATGTCCTGGCATCCTGTGGCACACTGGAGCTCATCCTGATGGGCACCAACAGCCAGGGAACAGCAAAAGGAGGGATTCTGCTCAAGCTTCCAGGTGAGGACTGCAGGCACCAGGGCAGGGAACCCCAGGGATGCCTTAACAGGGAAAATGCTCAGTGCAGTGACCCAGCTTTTGTCAGGCAGCTGTAAATGCAGGTTTGCTGGCTGAGGGCAGCAAGCAGAGAATAAATTTAGAGCACAAAAGGCATGAGAGGGAAGAGGGTAAATCACCACAGATTCTACCCTGCTCCCCAGCATTTCCTCCCCAGGCTGCAGATGAAGTGTGAAGACATTCAACACCACTTAATGTGACACCAAGTGTGCCACTGCAAACAGGACATTCACCACCCACAGCACTCACATTCCTCATGGTATTGGAGGTATTTCCCACACTAAGTGAAGGGAGACCACAAATACCACGCTGAAGGACGAGGCTGTGGCCTGGTAAACTGCCCTTCTCCTTTCTTTTCAACTCAATGAAAAACTTGACCACAAAATTTCGAGACAGGAAAAGAAAATCGCTATTTTTGGCATCATCTGATGCCAGACGAGCTGCAGGCTGTTTGTTAAGGATTCTCACTTTATTCTTGAGCTGAGGAGAATTTAGGGACAGGAAATGAAAGCAGGAGCTTCCCAATCTGCAGGAACATCTGTGGTAGGTGCTCTGCTCTCCCCATTCCAACACCCATATCCAGCTGGGCTAGACAGGCTCACAGAAGCCTGGCAATGTGGCTGTGTCCAACCTGGTATTTTTATTTAATCCTCAATTACATTTCCCTGCCCCTGACCCCCGGACAGTCCTGTTTGATGTTCTCACCTGGGCACAAAAACCTCGTTGTGGAGATAATTCTCAAAGGTCTTGCGGAAAGCAGACTCCTCCAGCTCCTTCTGGATCTGGGAGTCTGTTTTAGGACAGGAGCAACATTCCCCACTGACATCCTCAGCTTCACTCTGATTATACTTCTGGGGGTCTTCAGATTCAAAAGGAGGAGACCATGTCCTTGAGGGCAGCTTTAATCCTGGGGACAAAACAGTTTTAGTGTCACTTGTGCCTGTCTTGGCAGAAGATGTTTATCCTACAAAAAGATCCCAAACCAGTGTACACAGGATTCATGGCACATTTGGGCATCTCATATTTCACATCCAGGGCTGAGCAGTTCCCTCTTTTCTACAGGCCTTTAATTCAAAAATGCTATTTTTGAAATGGTGTTTGGATGCTGCTTTATCCCAGTTCAGGTAACACAGGGCAGTAGATGAGATTTTGGAAGTCCTCAGTGAAATTCTGTGGTCTCAAGGAATTTCAAACCAGGCACCAGCTGCCTTCAAAAGTTAACTTGGCCCTGAGCTCCAGCAGCACCCAAATTTTTAACTTTACTATCTCCATGGCTGCTACTAAATTTATAATTCAATTTAAAAGGAGAGAGGGCAGAAGGGAAATTCCCCAAAGGAAAAAACATGTGATTACTTAGTAAAGAACTTTTTTAGACCTTTTGCACATACCTTGGCAGTAGCACCTAATGTAACAGAACAGGGAGGGACAGAGCTGATTCCAGAAAAACAGTCCTGAATCCAGCAGGATTGGGCCCACAGAGCACCCCCAAGACAAAAACCCCAGAGCACCCCCAAGACAAAAACTCCAGTTCTGGGAGAGACTGATGGAAAGGCCTGGAGGGAGAAGCACCCACTCACCTTTCAGGCAGTAATCGAGTTCATAGAGCTCACTGTCCTCTGCCTGCTGCTGCCAGTACACCAGGTAGTGTGTGATGTTCCCGTTGGGCTCCGAGGGCGGCTTCCACTTGAGGATGATTTGGGATGAGGAGTTGGACACAGAGATGGGATCTAACGGGACTGACGGAACTGCAGGGGTGGGGAGAGACAGAGGTCACTGCACTGCCTCAGAGCCTGGCAAAGCAGGCACCAGACAGGCAAATTTCCATTCCTACGGCAATCAAGCATTCCCTGGCACCCAGCAGGCTCCTCCAGGCTGGGCTGGACCATTCTGGAGGTCTCTTCCAGCCTTATCTTAACAAGGCCACACAAACTGAAGAGGTGCCCATCGGCACCATCTGCAATCACACCCCTGGTTTAGGAATTCCCTCCTACACAGCAGGGCAGTGGGAAGTTTCCTGGATAATTCCCCCCTACCAAAGCAGGGCAGTGGGAAGTTTCCTGGATAACCCCCAGGCAGACTTAGTTAGGGCTGGTTTCAGCCCAGGAGGGTGCTGCACTGACCCGTGGCGTTGGTCTGCACGTAGATGATCTCGCTCTTGGCGCCGTACGTCCGCCGCTCGTCGGAGAAGGTGACCAGGGTTTTCACAAACACTGCGTACTGTGTCCAGGGCTTCAGGCCCCTCAGGAGCCACCCTGGCTGGGCCTGGGCTTTGGGCTCGTTGGAGCGTGGTGGGGGATCAACATCCACAACTGTCCAACTGTTGGAGCCACAGGCGTCCTGGCCATCGAACTCCGTCACGTTCTGGTAGGGACTTGAGGAAAGAGAAGGCTCTAATTAACAGAATCCTCAATCAGGCTCTTAAAAACAATTCTAAAGACACACTGGAAGTTATCACCTTTTACCCTTCAGAGAAAGTAAAATTATCTCATGGTATTTATTCTGAAAGGGAGGCATTGGGAGCTTTGTTACCTGGGTCTCCAACAGCATCACAGAGCAGAATCTGTGCCACACATGACCCCAGCAAATAAATCCAGACTGATTTATTGTCAGCTTTATGAAAATCAGCTTGGGTACCTTGATTCTAAAATAATATTTCCCACCACAAAGGGGATAAAACCCTCAGCATTCCACAGAGATAGTGGGGATATGAGAAACTCCATGGTTCAAGTATGTGTGTCTAGAACAGCAGGAATAACTAAAGTTTGGATTGTTCTTAAATGAGGAACTGTGACTGTGCACAAGTCAGGGATCTTAATGAACACTGCTATTGAAGGGTATCACTGGAAACTTCAGCGTGAGAGCCACAAAATCAGAGACTAAACAGCTTTGCCTACAGCAAAAACATCCAGCAGGTTTAACATCCACCTCTGAATGCCAGCTGCTGCTGCTGGCAGCCCAGCAAGGCCACTGCTGTGTGACCTCAGGGGATCACTTACGCCTCCTTGTAGAACAGCATAAACCCCAGGAGGTCACGGAAATCAGGGGGCCAGTAGGGCTCCCACTTCAGCAGGATCTTGTCATGAGAAGTCCTAATGGAAGAAAATTTCAGCAGTTCGTTTTCACCTGTAAAGAGTGAGAAGTGACAATAGTTTTATTGATGCTGAAAAATTAAGCATTTTGTTTTTAATTTTCTTAGAAGTTTAAAATAAATGTGAGGATGTTGGCACTGAGAAGAGCTGCCCAGTAAAACCTTATCTTACTTGGCAGCCGTTCCTACCTCAAATCAGTGGCTGGTATCAATGCCCTCCTAAATTAATTATTTAAATTTTTCTATGATTTCATGAAAACGACTCTGTAGAAGAGCTGAACTAAATTCTAAGAAGTGGGAAATCTAAAGGCAACACATTCCACAACTGATGATGAACTGCACAGCTGAACCCAGCAATACGGTTTGCACAGAAGGCAAGAGGCCACAGAAATGAAGCAGAAGAATTTCCAGCCCTGCCCAGGACTAGTGAGGTCCCTCTGCAAACAGGAGGGTGTTTGCAGGAGGATGGAGCTCAAGGGACATGGTACTACATGGTTTTGCCCCCAGCCCAAGTGGCTCTGACTGAATTTGCTATTCCTGCAGTAGCTGCAACAGGAGGAAGAACATTTATTTCACTGGCACCACATCCAGAACAAACAGGGGTGCTTTTTTTTCCCCTTTATATTTTTTCTTTTTTAGTAAACAGGATGCTGCCAATGTGAAAGCTGAGCTTGAAATGTAAAAGCAAACAAAAAGCCAAACAACCTGGCAAGCTGTGGTTTGAGGTGGGGGTGGCACAGACACCAGCTCAGCAGGGTGAGGGTAAAGCTGCCAAGGAGAAATGCAACTGTCTCCTCCAGCTGCCTTCACACCAAACATCAGCTCAGGAGCCACAGGCAGAGCTGGATCTACCCAAATTCAGGTTCATCCCCAATGTGGGAAGAGTTTTTCAGTGTCCCACGGGAGGAGATGAACTTTACAGACAGCTGATTCCTTGTGCTCCTTCCCTCTGCCCAGGCTGGAGCTGTGGTGCCCCAGAGGCTCCGTGTGTGTTTTTCACTGTCCCTGCCAGTTTTCAGGTCACAGCATTGCATTCCCCTCTCCCACTGTGCTGGCCTGGCTGCCTGTGTTGATATGTGGGAAACCAGACCAGGAAACTGAGTCAACTGAAAGATCTTCACTTTTTAGGTCTGTTCACAAACAGCTACATCAACGAGGGGCAACGAGGACAGGATCAGGGATCACAAAATCCTGGAATGTTTCAGGTGGGAAAGGACCTTGGGCTCTTCTGGCAGTGCTGTCCCCAAAAGCAGAGGGACAATGAAGCCACAGGATGCCCCAAGCTGTCCTGCAGGTTGTGAGCCAGGACCTGAAATCCCGGTTCAGTCAATGGTGGGCTTCTTTGGTGGAAACCATAACACAGCTGCTGGAATACTGCATGGATGGGTCACTGCCTCTGTCCCCATGTCCTGCACAGAATACCCTGAGCTGCAAGGGGCCCACGACCACCTGCACGTGCTCCTGTTCCTGTGTGCAGGTGAATCTCTGAGCAATGAATCAGAGCAGAGACACCACCAGCTCAGAACAAAGCTGGGATTTTCCTGCCCCTGATTACTTCCACAACCTGGTTCAGCACAGAGTCCTGGTACAAACAGGGAAAGGGGATTGTTGGTGGCACAGAAAGGGAGCAAACAGCAGGACTGGGGGTGCAGAAGGACTGCATTTCTTGCAGTATTGCTGCCAAAATAAGTGTCTGCAGAACCCCATCTTCAGCAGCACAACTTCAAAGCCCACCCTGTGCTGTTTGCTGACACAGGAGCTGCTGATCGTTGTTCCTGAAGAAAGCTGCTGGGTGAAAAACCTCAGAGAGGCATTGCAAAAATTGTTGGAAAATTTTTCTCTGCCTGTTGTCATGGCAATTGCCTCACATGGCCATAGGGATGGGTGGAAGTCCTGTTTCTCCCGTGTTTATTCCATGTTGCCTCATGACATGGGAAAAGCAGATTATGACTATTAATCAGGTACTCAGCAGTAACACAAAGTCTCAGCCTGGGCAGAGGTTACACTGTGCTAAACTCTTCAAAAAGACACAATAAATACACTCCCAGCCCCAAAAACCTCCCAGGATTTTGTGGGACCGAGGGTGCCAGAGGGAGATCCCGTGGGGACTTTTACTTGTGGCACGGTGAGTGCACAGGCAAGGGGCACATCTGCTGCTTTACCAAAGGGATGAAAAGGGATGAAAAGGCCATGGAAAAACATCATGGGATGGGCTGGGAGAAAGAGGAGCATGAGGAGAGCAAGGCAGAGGGAAAGGGAAGCAAGGCTGTGTTCTGATGTTCTTACAGGAGGCCTGATCCCCGTTGGTCTTCAGGGCTATGTCATTCCTCTCCTGACGCCCCTTAGTCCCAGAGATCTCTTCCATCTTGTGGATTTCTGACAAGCACAGCTTGGGGTTGTAATGGAAGAAGAGTTTGCCCCGTGCAATAGTGAGGTTGTGTTTGCTCCAGTCCCAGAGCTGGCGAAGATTCTGGTTGTCCAAGGCATAGAAGGAATAATTCCTGAAAGCAAGAGAATGAAAACATGGGTTGGGAGGGGATGCATGGAAAACTCTTTTTGCACTAATCCAGACATCAAAGAAAAATGAATGTGAATTGTCTGCCCTGGGAGGGCACAAGCCATGGGCAGAGGAACATTTAAAAATAACTTGGGAATTGTTTCCCAATACAAATCACCCTGAGAGAACTGGCACTCCTTGTACTTCAAAGCATTCAAATAAAGCATCTTTTGAGAGAACTCACCCAGCTTCAAGTGTCTCTCCTCTGATCAGATGGAGTTTCCGAAAAAAGGAAAGAGAAACCAAGGCGTAGGAGCGGCGGATTTTGAGGTAACCTGAGATTTCTTCTATCAAGCCAAGGTTTGCTTCCAGCTCAGCTGCTATGTTATCTACAGAGAGAAAAACATTGGGAAGAGTTTGCAGGTATCACAGAGAAAAAGACCCACACATCACATGAATATTAAACAATTAACGTTAATATTAAACAATTAACATTAATATGAAACAATTAAAGCCCAAGCATTAATATTTAACAATATTAATTATTGTATTTGCTGAGACCCTCGTGGCAGGGAGGAATGATGAATCTGACTCCATGTTCTCAGAAGGCTAATTTATTCTTTTATGATACTATATTATATTAAAAAATACTATACTATACTAAAGAATACAGAAAGGATACTTACTGAATGCTAAAAAGATAATAAAGAAAACCTCGTGACTCTCTCCAGAGTCCTGATACAGGCTGGCACTGATTGGCCAAAGAGTAAAAATAATTCACACCAGAACCCAATGAAACAATCACCTGTGGGTAAACAATCCCCAACCACATTCCGTATGAGCAAAACAGAGGAGAAGCAAATGAGATAATAATATTTTCCTTTTTCTGAGGCTTCTCAGCTTCCCAGGGGAAAAATCCAGGGCGAAGGGATTTTTCCAGAGAATGTGAACGCGACAATTAATAAACATTAATATTTAATTTCTTTATGCTAATTCAGGAGAACTGGCATAACAAAAAACGTCAAACGAAAGCCTTTGCTTTGTGCTGGTTTCTCCGGGTCCCTCTGAGGCTGAGGGTGCCCAGAGCCAAGGGGGTGGGTGTCCCTGGCTGCCAGCCCCTGCCCAGCCGTGCCCACTCACTTCCCCCGCGGATGTTGATGACCAGGCTGCCGTTGAGCACCGTGCAGCCCCGCAGCTCCTGCGCCGACGTCACCGAGTCGATGGTCTTCTCCTTGCCGAAGTCGCACACCTTGGGGCAGGGCCCAGCGCAGGGCGTGCAGTGCAGGCTGCAAAACAGCACAGGAGGGGAGCCAGGTCAGGCAGGGTGGCCCCAGCAGTGCCCCAAAGCTGAGTGATCAATCTGAAGTGATGATACGTCGTGGGTTTGCTTTTTAGGAACTCCAAAGAGAGGCAAAGAATCATGGAATTGGAACGGATCTTAAAGCTCATCCAATTCCAACCCTTTCTACACCTTGCACTGGACCAGGTTGCCCCAAGCCCCATCCAACCTGGCCTTGAAAATAACTGCTGATAAATTTAAATGGTCTTAAATTGTCACTTCCACACTTCAAACGTGAATCATTCCATCCCTTCCTACAAAACAAAATGAAGTGACCTGAATTATTGTGAAGAGGGAATTGGCCACGATGCTGGCCAGTGCTCTCCATCCCAGGGCTTTCAAGATAACAAATCCCAGCCCAATATTCATCTCAAAATCATTAACCAAACGTGTAATTGATGAGTGGAGAGCTGGCCCTGCATCTGTGAATCCTCTGATTGAGGACTGCACAACACAATGTTGCTTTAAAAGAAGGCAAGAATGCGCTTTGTGCTCTGGGGAAATACTGCTTAAATAGCACGAGCTGATGGCTTGCCCTGGTCACACCACCACAAGAATGTGTTCCCAACTAGTTCAGAGAAAGAAATGCTCTAGGAAGAGCAGGGAGCAGAGCTGTGAGGTCCCACTGGCAGCAGCCTGGAACAGCACAGGGGAGGCCACGGGGCTGTTGCACAAGCAGCACAGCTACTTTGGGGGCTGTTTGTTGGTTCTTTGGAAAAGCAAAACAGGAAATGGCAGAAAAAGTCCTGTTAAGAGTGAATTCCCTGAAATTATTATGGCAGGAGCAAATACATGCAAGCACAAAGTGACCAATATTCATAGGAAATCTGACTCACCACAATACAGAATGGTAATGCGGGACAAACAACCAAGTTTTCAGTGATAAACAGCTCAGCACCATAAATTATTTAATTCCTTTGTCAAAACCCCCTGGGAATAGACAGAATGGCTGTTCCCTGCTTTGATTCGTGCTACACTTGTTTGTTACATTGTGCGTTTATGTCTGGCACAGCTTGAACCTGTTCAATGAAAGTAATTACAGGGATGGGGGACAGATATTCCGAGAACGAGCACTCCGAGGACGCTGTGCTCTCTTCATTAGCCACGGCCTCTCCCTGCTGTGCTTTCCCAGCCTGGTTCCCTGGCCTTCCAGAGGGGAGGGAAGCAGGGCTGCTAAAGCCTCTCCACTGCCCACGCCGTTCCAGCTTGTGGATGCTCTTCCTTGTCATCTCCCCATCTCCCTTTCCCACTTTTTCCAAACTTGACAGGAAGAAAGGGAAGAATAAACTAGCAGCCCATGGCAGGGAGAGCTTTTAATGGCTTGAATTAGCAAGGTATTAGTTTGTAAATCATATTAAAGCAGACCAGGTGATTGCTCCAACACTGGAAACTCCTCCTGTGTGGATGCCATGGGACAGAGAGAAACAGCAAGCGTTTCTCACAGTTCCAGCTTCCAGTGTAAATTTCAGTGTAAATTCTGCCTCATCTCCACCCTTCAGCGCAAATTCCGCCTCATCTCCTCCACCACCTTTCAGTGTAAATTCTGCCTCATCTCCAGCTTTCAGCGCAAATTCTGCCTCATCTCCTCCAGCTTCCAGTGTAAATTCTGCCTCATCTCCCCCTTTCACTTGTCAGTGCAAATTCTGCCTCATCTCCACTTGGTAGAGCAAATTCTGCCTCATCTCCTCCAGCTTTCAGTGTAAATTTCAGTGTAAATCTGCCTCATCTCCACCCTTCAGCGCAAATTCTGCCTCATGTCCTCCACCACCTTTCAGTGTAAATTCTGCCTCATCTCCCCCTTTCACCTGTCAGTGCAAAATCTGCCTCATCTCCAGCCTTCTGTGCTAATTCTGCCTCATCTCCATTTTGTAAAATCTGCCCTATCTGCACTTGTCAGTGTAAATTCTGCCTCATCTCCCTCTTTCAGTGTAAATTCTGCTTCATCTCCCCCTTTCAGTGTAAATTCTGCCTCATTTCCACCATTCAGTGCAAATTCTGCCTCATCTCCCTCTTTCAGTGTAAATTCTGCTTCATCTCCCCCTTTCAGTGTAAATTCTGCCTCATTTCCACCATTCAGTGCAAATTCTGCCTCATCTCCACTTAGCTGTGCAAATTCTGCCTCATTTCCACCATTCAGTGCAAATTCTGCCTCGTGTCCACTTAGCAGTGTAAATTCTACCTCATCTCCAGCTTTCAATGTGAATTCTGCCTCATCTCCTCCTTTCAGTGCAAATTCCACATTCTAAGAACGTTTTTGAGGAGTCTTACCATTCATCCTCACAATTAATCAATGCTCATCTTCAAGAGAAGAAAACTGAGTTTTCCTGCTCCCTCAGTCCAGCACTGTGAGGCTCCAGGAGAGCCCTGGTGACTCTGGTGTCATTCCTGAAGCTCAGGAGTGATGAGACTCCACACCAAGATCTTCCCAGCCTGGCACAGCCACTTTCAGCCAGAAAATTCTTGCTCCTCAGTTTTAAACAAATGAAGTTTCCTACAGCAGTACTGCAAATAACACGTGTCCAACAGCACTTTTACACAACCCTCCATCTTTATCAGGATTTGCTTCCCATCTGTCTATCACCCTGTCCCTGGTTTCCTGGAGGAAGCCCTGGCACCAACACAAGCTCTTCAGTGGCTCTCCCAACAAGTCCACAAAGAAGGGCACCCACAAGTGTTATTGCTTGAGGGATTTATGGTTTTCTTTTTAATTACTCATTACTTAGCACCCCACAACAGCTTTAACAAGCAGTTTGGGCTCTGAACTCCAAACCAAGCAGAGCAAACACCGTGAGTAGCTCGGGGAGGAGCAGGAGGGCAGGATGAACAAACCCAGGGAAGCTCCAGGAGAAGGTCAGTCCTGCCCCTCAGCATCTCCACGCTCAGTGTGAGAGGTTCAAAGGAGGCTGAAATGATCAAAAACAACTCTGTAACCCAGAACACACCAAGAACTCCATGTCAGGAAAGAGAACACAGCTGAAATCAGCAGCCCAAGGGCCAACACCAATGCCAAGCAGGGCTTCAGAAGCAGGAAGAAGGGCTTTAGATGGGGGACAGTGACCTGGATTTATCCTCACAGCCTTTGAGATGCAGCTGTGAATTGCCAAGATGCAGATCAAGACACCTCTTGTCCTCACCAAACCACGGTGTCCTGTCTGAGGTAACACCTGAGCAGCTCCTGATGCCCTGCCTGAGCCCCCTCGGTGCAGGGAGCCAGCAATAAATCCTGAATTAACACCACCTGCCTCAACATCTCCCCAGCTTTATGTCCAACACCCAGTGTCCAGGCAGGAGGGGCTTTATTAATTTATTTATTATTTATTTTATCCTGACCCAGCGATGTCCAGAGATTAAATATTATCTCCATTCTGAAATATTATCTCTAAATTCTGGTTAAGGCACCTGAGCAGACCAGCAGTGGAATGTGGTCAAGTTTTATCCAGCCAAAGGAGCAGCATGTGGGAGCCACAGCACAACATGTTTGGATGATCCAACCCCCAGCTGTGTTAGGAAGAAAATCCCCCTCCGCCCCATGTTAGGAGATTGCAGAATTAAGTGTGCTAAAGCTGTTAATGCCATTCTTGGAATAAGCAGGACTAGATGAGGTAGTAAAGATGAGCAACCTCTGGTCTGCTCCAGCCTGATAAATCCCTTGAAGAAATATGAAATGGATAAAGCTGAAATTCCACCACAAGGACAATTTAATCTCAAATATCTTACTGCTTCCCTGTTAGTCCTTCAGTACAGGTGTCTTCTCTGCATCACTCATCCATTACAAAAAGCACAGGAATGTGTTTCAAATTAATTTCCTTTCCAACTTTTTGCCCTTTTCTAGCAACGGGTCTTATTTTGTGAACCTGTCACAAGCAGTACTTGATGAAATGCAATAGCCAAATAGCAACCTGCAGGTAACACCTTGCATTAGACTCAATATAAAATGGGAAGCTTGCTTTAAAAGCCAGGTTATACATGGATGTTTTAAATGGTTATACAAAGATGAGCACAGTCTAGCAACAGGTGTCCTGGCTGCAGTTTATTAGAAATATTTGCAACAGAAAATTCCAGGATTTAGTCCAAAGCACTATCCAACTTACTAATTCCAGCCTGGAATATCAAGGTTTGTGAGCAGGGGGAAAGCCTGGGCTGTTTCTCCCACACCTGTCCTGAGACAGAGATGTCCTGCAAGAAATCCTGCTCTGGTTGGTTCCTCCTTGGATCAGGGTCAGCTTGAAAAGCTGAAAGCACTGAAGCAAATGCAGGAATGGTTTGTGGGAGCTGGAGTGCAAGTGCTGCCAGCACAATTCCCTCTGTTCCTCACCAGTTTCCTCACAAAGGGAGTTTTCCCCTGCCTCTTTCATGCTCAGGAACTACAAAGTTTAAAGTATCCAAAAGACATCATTTGTTTTCCAAGGAGCAGCCAGGTAATTGGGAAAAGCCAGCCCTCATGCAAAGCACCCGGTGACACATGGCACCTACTTAACATTCTGTCACACAATATTTTTATTTAATTTGTTATGGAAACTAATCTTCAAAGCCCTCTGCTTATTTACACATTTTGAACTCAGCTGCAAGTATTCACAGGGCAGAAACCGCCTAAAGTCCCCACTCCAAAGGTTTTCAGAAGATACAATTAAACTATTTTTAAACCGTTCTTAACGTTTCTCTTTTTCCTGTTCCGCCAGCTTTTGATGTCTCAAAGACAGTTCGAAAAAAGCAAAGCACCCAAGGCAACAGCTCTTTTTCCATTAAGCACTCAAGACCAGAAATTCAATCACCATTTTGTGCAAATCCTCATTACCCAAGATCCTGAACAGATGTCATGACATTATCAAAGTCTGCATGCTAGAGAGCACCTCAAGTCATGTAAAACCTCTCCAGAGTATCTTCACTATGGTTTCTTACAACTGTAACTCCAGGCTATGTCACTCAGATGGACCAGAAATACGGGTTTTGTTTGGGTTTTTGCTGCCACGTTGTGCTTTCACTGCAGGCCAACACTGAATAGGTTTGTGCGCTTCATTGCCCTTCTCCACCGAGGTCTGCAGACCCCAATAGGCGCCATGGCACACAGAGATTTGCCTTTTTGTACAAAAAAATTGGCTCCCCAGGGAATGATCTTGGCCCCAGAGCTCCAGGAGCGTTTGGGCACTGCACTGCAGGCCAACACTGAATAGTTTGTGCACTTCATTGCCCTTCTCCACCGAAGTCTGCAGACCCCAATAGATGCCATGGCATGCAGAGATTTGCCTTTTTGGCTCCCCAGGGAATGATCTTGGCCCCAGAGCTCCAGGAGCGTTTGGGCACTGCTCCTAGGGATGCCCGGGGTGGGGTTTTTGGGGTGTTTGTACTCAAGGATCTTTGTGGGTGCCTCCCAACTCAGGACATTCTGTGGTTCTAAGGTGGCCTTTGGGAGCTCTGGCATGTGGGGAGGCTCAGGGCAGGTTCAGCCACAGCCCCCAGCCTCTGGTTAAGGGCTTTGGACAATCAGCACAGGGGAAAAAAAACAACTCCCCCCATTCCTCACAGAAAGTCCAAAGGGAACTCCACAAACCCACGCAAGGGCACGAAGGAACAGCTGTTCTGGGTAGGGGCAGAAGCCACCACGCTGCACCACAAAAACTGCTGTGGGGCCGTGGACCAGGACAAAGCTGCCCAGCACAGCCACCACACCTCCTCACCACATCTGGAGGAACTGGGTGCTCAAAACCCCTGTCCCGAAGCTGACCAAGACCACACCACCTCCTCACCACATCTGGAGGAACTGTGTGTTTAAACCCCCCCTCCTCACCACATCTGGAGAAAATGGGTGTTCAAAACCCCTGTCCCGAAGCTGACCAGACCACACCACCTCCTCACCACATCTAGAGGAACTGTGTGTTTAAACCCCCTGTCCCAAGGCTGCCCAAGAGCCTGACACGAACAAACCCGTGGAGAAACGCGGTGACACGAGGGGCTCCGACCTGTCCTTCCAGGATCCAATAAATATTTAACTCGCTGCTAGCGTGGCTCCCAAGACTGAGGGAACAATGCCTTTCCCAAACCTCTCTGATTAGAGATTCAAGCAGACATTTCTTGGTGCTGCTGGGGCCCAGCTCGGGGGGACAGGCGGCCGTGGAGTCAGCGCAAAGGAATTTCCACCTCCGGATCGCTCCGTGTTTCACCACTTCCCCGTGCTCCAGGTGGAAACAACACTCACCAGACTGTAAACACATTCCCGAGCCAGCACAGGTAACCAGGTATTTAACAGGCAAGTCAATTAAGCATTAAACTGTTAAAAACTTTAGTGTTAGGTCTTTTTTCTTGTTTTCTGTTAATAAAATGGTGAATTGTCCGAAAAAGAGGGAAAAACACCATTCAGGGTAAGTTTTGCTGTTCCTCTGGGATTCTCTGCCACTGGGTGGGTTTTAATATCAACATCCTGGGTGAGCTGAACTGGGTGTTCACACAGGTTTGGGTTGGGCAGGAGGAACACGGTTCAGTAAGGACAAATTCTGAACCACACACACGAACATCAAGATGCTGCACGTGTGCTGTCCAGGCACCACATGCGTTTGGGACTGATTTGTTGTGAATATAGGTGATTTTTTTAGATTGAAATAATAAGCCCTGCGTGTGTGGATGGGGGTCAGTGGAGGCAACCTGGGCCACCATGGGTGTCCAGTGTCCAGCAGCCAAGCTGGCCGAACTCTCCTCACACCACCAGCTCCTCTCCTCTGGCTTACACAAACTCTATTTTGATTACAGACAAGGCAATTAGGAGGCTCCAGATCCAACGGAGTCCAGGACACAAAACAACTGCGGCAGGAGAACCGCCCTCAACCTCAGCCAATGCATTTGCTGCCTGCGCAGGGGAGGCATCCAAGCCAACCGCCCGCTATCTGCACAAGGCAAACAGCCTTAACCCTGCCAGCTCCCCAGCCAGCCCTGGCCTCCCACCACCACCCAAAACATCACCAGCCCAATGCAATTTAATGCCATTTAATGCCGCTGAAGGGCTGCCGTGGCTTTTGTGGTGTTTAATTGGCGCGGGGTGTTTATAAGCTGGAGGGGAAGGCAGGAGGGAGCCGGCACGAAGGCGGCCTTGCCACGGCTGAAAATGGCTTTTTTTGGCTGAAAACGGCTTTTTTTTGGCTGAAAATGGCTTGTTTTGGCCGTGCCACGGCTGCCCTGGTGCCAGGGCTGGGTTGGTGTCATGTGAGATGACAGGCACATGCATAGAACCCAAGGCAGAGCCCCACAGAAACAGGATCACAGTGCCCTGCACGCCCCTGTGGCTTTTTTCCCCCTCTTACTGTAAATGGCTGCGAGATGTGACATATAAATTTATCCCCACGCACACAGAGTCCTGCTTGAGTTACGGCTGCAGAGGGAACTGTAATTTCATTTCCTAACGGTACAGTCCCGGCAGTGACCTCCGCAGCAATGGGTTCTTGTGGTTCTAAACAAAAACAAAACCAACAAGGAATGAAAAAAAAAAAAAATAAAAAGGAAACCCTAGGACTAATCACCCCCGGCAGTAACTCCTCAGTGTGTTGCAAGCATGTGATCTTAATTTAGTAGTACAGAGCCTGGGCTTGCTTCCTGCTGCAAGTGCTGAGCAGCATCGCTGCTATGGAAATCCATATGTGTCTCACTCCCCATAAAACCATGTATGAAATCCTGTTGTACTTACACAGTATTTTTTACTTGATGGCTTTTGTTCTTTCACTCATTCTCTTCCAGTCAAGAAGACCCCTAATTCAGACAGTTGTTAAGTGCCATTTGTCCTGTAAACTTATTTTTGATTTTTTCACTCGTGATCATCTACTTTCTTGTGAGCATTTATTTGACCTGAACACATCAAGACAACACCTAATCCCAGTGCATTAATGCATCATAAAGCTGAAAACAGGTATTAAATGAAGCAAAACTGTGTCTGGTGAAGACTAAGTAAAAAATAATTGCAAGACTCACAGCAGATTGCTGCAAGCAAACCAGTGTATTGCATTGTGGCTTATTCCTTCAATTATTTCTTCATGTCACAGAGGCCAAAGAGGCAGAAACCTAAACCCCAAACCCCACCAGCAGCAGAAACGTGCCTGGGAGGGACAGGGCTGGAGAGCTCCAGTGGACTGTAAAAAGCACAAGGACTTTTGATCGCCTTGGTGACAAACAACAGCAGCTCCCCCAGCCCTTCCTGAGCCTACAAAATAAATGAAGTAACTAGAAGTGCACAAAAAATAGGAAGCTAACACAGTGATACCAAAATCCTGCTGGCAACGCCCGGGGTTGGCCACAGTGGTCAAGCAAAATTCAGGAAATAATCACGAGATGCTCAAGCAAATTTGATGTCACTTCTTCCCAGAGCTCAGCTGCTCTGACAACACTCATCCCTCCCTTTTCCCCAACGACAACCAGGGAACAAGCCTTCCAAAAGGCATTGACTCAAGGGCTGTAACCCACAACAAAGGGCTGCAGTTCTCAGCACCAGCTCGGGAAGGAGCAAGTGCCAAATAAATCTCAGATTTTACAATCAGCACTAAAATAAAGTGTTATTTATAAAATAAGATATTACAGTACATAATGCCATGACCCCTCTGAACTGCGAGCTGGGAACGTTAGGAGGTCTGTATTTACACAGGAACAGATAAAATTAACTGCAGGTGCCTCCCTTCCCATGGACAGTGACTTCCAAAAACAACACACTTACTACAACGTCAAGGAAACTCTTCCCATTGACATTTCTCAGGACAACATTACACCTCTTATCTCATCTATCAGTAAGGACAAGGGAAAAAAAACTGTTTCTCCTCCCAAGCCTTCCACAAATTACGTGCTCAAGCGGAGCTACATGGAATGTCTCAGATATTCCAACCCGGGGCTCGGCTGCTTCCCGCCAGGAACAGATGAAACCCGCGGGGATGCTGGACCTGTGAGGATCAGCAAACGTGAGTTTAGACAAGATAAAGGAGTTTGGAGCCGTGTGCCACCTTGTCCTGCCGTGATAGTGGAAGAAGTTGTTGAATGGAGATACGGGAAAGGTTGAGCTCAGTTGTTTACAGAGGAAAGGGGCAGATAACAGCAGATCCCTCCAGAAACAGCCTCCTCTGTGCCAACCTTCTGCTGTTTGAACTGAGGAGTAATTCATTATCTTCTGCACTACACCTGCTGGTGGGGCATTTCCCTAGAAATACATATTTACTCCTGTGTGAATTATGACAAACAATATGGGAAACGTGGTAAGAGGAGCTCGCACACACGTATAGGCACATATTTTGGTCATATAACATATAAAATATATAAAATATATGTAAGTTATCTCAATATGGTGAAGCCTGGAGGAGTCATTAACCTCAATGGACCCACGATGCCTTTGGTCACTTGTTCTTCATCTTCTCAGGAAGTGACAACCTTTGCAAATGAGACAAGACGCGGCCCAGGCGTGCCAAGTCCTGCGCAAATTCAGATTTCATGGATGGAGTTTGACAGCCCAATATCATCTCTTATTTTTGGGGACAGGACATCTTGGGCTACAAACCTCAGCTATGGAAGGCCCTCATCTTCTCCCATTGAACCCTCAGGACAGACTCTCACTTAAATGGATTTTTTAGACCCTTCTGTTTCTCTCCCTTGAAGGTTTCCACTCCTGCTCTCCTCTGCCACCCCAACTACTTACACAGAAAACTGGAAGTTTCCCACCCAAGTATCCCTAATATTGCCCAGACAGAACAAAGATCAAAGAAACATTTTCCTTTTGTGCAATTCAAGCAGTGGTGTTCATGGCTGCAAACCCCTCATGAACTGGACTTACAGAGCAAAGCACCTCACACTGAAAAAAATGAATTAATAAAGAAATTAAAACTCAAGACTAGGTCTGTTTTCATTCTCCTGGCACCTTTGAACTGAATGCAGGTACAAACAACTTGCAGAAATCAAGAAAAGCTGTTGGCCATCGAGCCCAAACTACCAAAACACAGAGTCTGATTTGAAAACACAGCAGCAACTGTTAAAGGAGGGACAAGTGTCACAAAGTGCACACCAGGATAGCGACCAGAAGCTGTAAATACTTTACCCAGTGTCTACAACAGTGCTGTTGTGCCATTCTCTGGCAAGCAGGTCAAGCCTGCTCCTTGTACTTTGTGTTCAAAATTACATGGGAGCTTAGTGTAAGGGATCAGAAATAACCACCCACCTCTCCTTGGCAGCTGGGTTTTTTTTAATATGCCAGCCCCAAAACTGACACCACATCTTCAGGCAAAATATTGTATTTCATTCTGTACAGCAGAAGATAACTTGTAATTTAGACCAAGACCAGAATCTTTAACGTTAATTGGGTATTTCCCTGTAAAGCTTTGATGGTAATTTTGCTCACAACAACAAGGTTGGTTTTTTTTTTTTGTTGTTATGGTTTGTTAAATTTCAATCTTTATTACAACCCAAGGATTTGGTGTTATCATCCAACGGTTGATGCCACCTGGGAGCCTCATGAAAACTTCCTGTTAATATTTAACTATTTATTACTCCCCAATGTACAGCATCTTGTAAACATCCCTGTTCACTTTAACCTGCTCCTGCCAAACCTGCTCACTCACTGCAACCCCAAATCACAGGAAAATGGTCCAGGCATGTCCTGGAAATAAGTGATGGTCCTTGTGAGTCCCTTCCAGCTCGGGATATTCCATGATTCTATGATTCTAGGAGCTGACATGAAACAGACACAAATGGAGCTGGACACAAGGACTCGGTGATGGTTTAAGAGCAAGGTCCATCTGATTTTTCCAAACAAAGGTTATTAATTTTACCTACAAAGCCCGTCCTGAAAATGAGGAGCGATGATAGGATCAGGGCACGAGGCAAAACGTCCAAGCTCTGCTTTCTGCAG